TGGTCTTTACTCATTATTCCCTCTCCATTCCCCTTTTGTTCTATATGGAAAATGGACATACTTGTGCAAACGACAGGACTACAAGGTCATTGATTGTTCTCCATGACCGTATGATCCTTTAAAAAAAATGTATGTGCACCTTGAATGACTCATTGTTTAAAACCTGGAAGATTTATTTTTTTTGGTATTGGTAATGTAAATATGCCACATAGCAGCTTAGATTGTTACACTTTTCTTGCCTGTTTTCTGGTTTTAGTAGCACACTCCACTGTAATATGTGGTTCCCTGGGCATTTATGGAGTGCCACATGCTAATGTGTTTAGTGTTGCATGTGTGTCTCCATACTGATGCATGTGTTTTTTTTATTGGGGTTTTAAGATGTGTTTGGCACCTTGGAGTCCAGTTCAGTGCCTTCCAATTATTAATTTGGCATATGCTTTTATGTAGAGTGGCTTACGTTTTATCAGTATGGTTTCCCTGGCAATCAAAGCATTGAAGAACTACAGTAACTGTTAGGTTAGACTGGTACCATGGTTTAGTGATTTATCTGATGGTAACATTATGCTACTTTATGTATTATCATAGTAGATGTACAAAAATAGTGTAACCCTGATTTTTGTGTCATGGAACGAAATACCTGCATTGTTTATTATCATATACATCAAAATCAGGAGACAGCTAATTAATTTTTTTAATAAAAGGATGGAGTCGGCATGTTGTTTTTGTCAACTGTCTATATCAGGGGTTGGGAACTTTTTGGTCATAAGGCGCCATTTTTTTCTGCTTTATCACTGTGTAGTGTTTTGAGTTTGACCGTTCCAGCAAACTTTATTTTTCCAAGAAATAAATTATATTTATTTTATTTTTATTTTCATGTCTCTCCATACATAAAACTATTAATAACCTTATAAGACTATATGGAAGCTGTGTATTTTTGTTTTAAAATAATGTATTGATTTTTATGTTGTGTGATGTCACTTCCTCTGATTGAATTGCCCAATCGCGTCCCGCTCTCAGCTTTGGACTAGGGATGGGCGATACCACTTATTTTGTTTTCGATACAATACCGATATTTTTCAAGGCAGTATCGTCGATATCGATACCGATTCGATACTTCTGAACTAAACTTTTAAATTATGAAATGTATTAAATTATTAAATTACTAAGAGTAAAATGGGTAATAGGCACTTAACTTTATGTTTAAAACACATTTTAACATTCAATATGCCTTAATTGTAACTTATTAGGTTCTATTTTTGTTTACACATGGTTCAAATATGTTTTTTGTTTACACATGATTCAAATCTACAAATACTACAGTTGAACTATGGTCACTTTAGTAAAACCATGGTTCATTTTCATAAGGGACTGCCAGTGACCGGCTGTTGCATGCATAAAATGCAACCTTTTTATTCTGACAGTGTATGATTTCTATTAACATTACAGAATAGAACATGATCAGTATTATCTTTTACATTTTCACATTCCACAAATGAATAATTGAGGTCCCTGCACACAGACTTATCATTATGGTTCCCTCAGAATGGGAAGACTGTCCCACACGTCTCTGAAGATCTGCCAAATGGCCCAGTGAGATGCAGAGCTGGGATTTCATGCATTTAAATGCAGTGTATTTGGGGACTGTGACTGCAGAGCTGTCACTGCAGGCTGCTTTATGGAAGCGTTGTCGTTTTGCCATACTGTCAGCGCTAGTAATGGGTGAGAGCCCTGCACGGTAATGTAGCACCACGCATAGTTCAGTGTCAGGTGGTGTTTGCTGAGCGGCAGTGCTGCTGACGTGATCCAGTGCTGGTGCAAAGCAATTATGCCGTTCTTAAGCTTGAGCGGTTTTCACTGCTGTGTGTATTGCACTTTGAAGATTAACTCTGAAATCAGTGGGAGTATTTAAAAGCAATTTCAGGATTAAATTACGTCTGTTTAAAATTTAGCAAATACAAAATGCACAAATCATGACTAGTTATGATACCGGTGGAATCAAGATTTATTAAAGGGATAGTTCAACTTCAGTTGCTGGTCCCCTTTGACTTGCATAGTGTTTTTATCTCCATACTATGGAAGTCAGTGGGGACCAGCAACTGAATGTGAACTATTCCTTCAAGCTGTGTTTCTCGCTTAATTTCTGTGGTCATTAAGATGAGTATTATACTGTAGCTTTTACAGTGTTTATAATTTGCTCCTTTTTCTGCCTATATTTGTTTATTTTATACATGCAAAGCGATATATTTAGTACATTTCAACTGCATGATTGTTTATATAGGCGCAAAATGTAACTATAGATATATATATATATATATATATATATAAGTATGAGTATACTGCATACATAGTGTACTCACGTAGGGTGATATATATACTATATAGCAATTCTGAACTGCTTGATTGCGTTATCATTGCTAAATGTAAAGTATATTATCGCCCAGCTCTAATCTGTTAAACATGACTAAAAGGCAAGTAGATATTAAGATATTACAGTATAAACCATCATGATTTTCTGTAAAGCTGCTTGAAATGGTTTGTATTATGAAAAGCGGTAAACAAAAAAATGTGACATGACATGACTAATTAGATGTTTATACAACAAAGGATTTTGTATTATCATTAATGCTTGTGTGACAGATTGAGTATGAAAGATGAGATTGAATGTTTCAGCAAGGATCACAAGGACTGAAAATTGCATAATACTGTATGCTGTGAAAATTGCATCACATTACAGCACAATATCAAGAGAACAATACAAACCTAGATAGGTGCCCTTTCTATAGATATATATAATACACCAGTCCACCCTTAGATAATATAATATGTACATAGAAACCCAAGTCAAGGCAAGGAGTCTGTGAAAAGTCAATAAATTCAATAATGTATTATGAGATTCTGATGGACCTGCCGCAGAACATACACAAGAGAAAGGCCAGCGGTCGCATAGATCATCCTATATGCATGTGTTTGTTTATTGTTTTTGTCATGGCTGATAGCTGCTCTCATGATGAGGCTTGTATCATATATCAGGAGGTAATCAGGAAACACTAGGTGATATTGTGTCTCTGACAGCTGCTGTCTGGAACGGAAATGGATAACTCTCATCACTGTGTCAACTTATCTCGCTCTCATTCTATACTGCCAGTTCATATTTGTGCTGACATTTTTTTCCTTTTGTACTCTGCTGAGCACCTCTCAGTGCTTAATACAGTCTCTGCTATTTTTATATACATTTTAAATCTATAGATCAAACAATGAAGACCCATTTAGAGAATATGTTAGTAGAACTGAAGGTGATGAATTTAACATCTAGTTTGCATGAGCTTCAGTTTATATATAAGCATAAGCTATGCATAAACATATGCCATAAATTAGTTTCACTCCCATTTCTTGGTTTCTTTGAATTATAAATTAAATAGAATTAGGTATTTGCTTGCATAGCTAATAAATGAACATGCTTTAAAGTAGTTGATTAAAAACATTCTGCTGGTTCTAGGAATATTCTGAGTTTAGTACAAGTTAAGCAGAAATAAGCAAGTGTTTCCTTTAATCGTTCAAATTATTCATTAATTGACATTCATTTATCTTTCTTTTTGATATCCCCACAGCAAGCACGTCCACTTTATAACTCTTGTTCTGCAATCTAAAAACTATCCTTGACCTCCTCTATTATTTCATCAAGGAGAAGCCACACAGCTTTTCTGTATTGCACTCATGATTTGCCCACAAATGAGCTTCAATGGTCTTTACTCATTATTCCCTCTCCATTCCCCTTTTGTTCTATATGGAAAATGGACATACTTGTGCAAACGACAGGACTACAAGGTCATTGATTGTTCTCCATGACCGTATGATCCTTTAAAAAAAATGTATGTGCACCTTGAATGACTCATTGTTTAAAACCTGGAAGATTTATTTTTTTTGGTATTGGTAATGTAAATATGCCACATAGCAGCTTAGATTGTTACACTTTTCTTGCCTGTTTTCTGGTTTTAGTAGCACACTCCACTGTAATATGTGGTTCCCTGGGCATTTATGGAGTGCCACATGCTAATGTGTTTAGTGTTGCATGTGTGTCTCCATACTGATGCATGTGTTTTTTTTATTGGGGTTTTAAGATGTGTTTGGCACCTTGGAGTCCAGTTCAGTGCCTTCCAATTATTAATTTGGCATATGCTTTTATGTAGAGTGGCTTACGTTTTATCAGTATGGTTTCCCTGGCAATCAAAGCATTGAAGAACTACAGTAACTGTTAGGTTAGACTGGTACCATGGTTTAGTGATTTATCTGATGGTAACATTATGCTACTTTATGTATTATCATAGTAGATGTACAAAAATAGTGTAACCCTGATTTTTGTGTCATGGAACGAAATACCTGCATTGTTTATTATCATATACATCAAAATCAGGAGACAGCTAATTAATTTTTTTAATAAAAGGATGGAGTCGGCATGTTGTTTTTGTCAACTGTCTATATCAGGGGTTGGGAACTTTTTGGTCATAAGGCGCCATTTTTTTCTGCTTTATCACTGTGTAGTGTTTTGAGTTTGACCGTTCCAGCAAACTTTATTTTTCCAAGAAATAAATTATATTTATTTTATTTTTATTTTCATGTCTCTCCATACATAAAACTATTAATAACCTTATAAGACTATATGGAAGCTGTGTATTTTTGTTTTAAAATAATGTATTGATTTTTATGTTGTGTGATGTCACTTCCTCTGATTGAATTGCCCAATCGCGTCCCGCTCTCAGCTTTGGACTAGGGATGGGCGATACCACTTATTTTGTTTTCGATACAATACCGATATTTTTCAAGGCAGTATCGTCGATATCGATACCGATTCGATACTTCTGAACTAAACTTTTAAATTATGAAATGTATTAAATTATTAAATTACTAAGAGTAAAATGGGTAATAGGCACTTAACTTTATGTTTAAAACACATTTTAACATTCAATATGCCTTAATTGTAACTTATTAGGTTCTATTTTTGTTTTGGACTTGAGCGAGACAGGTACGTCGCAAATGTGTTCCGTGACATGGTATTACAATATATCAGATTGAGTTAAAATTTTGGTTGATATCAGTGGGAGATATGTTTTGATGATGGATTGAGTCAAATAGTGTGTTAGTTTGGCGTTAATTTTCAGTATATTGTGAGTTTCGTGTTAATGAGCTGTTAATCATTTGGTTCAAGTTACCGCCCGCGTCATTTTTAATGGCGGGGTATTTTTATGCTAACTTTGGTTCTTAAATCAAATTTAAAAGGTGGATTATGTTCTTAAAACATCATGCAGTTAAATTTGTCAAAAGTATATTGTCATTTTGTGTCTTAAATTGTATATTTGTAGCCATGTATTATCTTTGAGTCGTTAATAGGCTGCAGTTACAGTGTTAATGGGGACAGGGGTTCACTTTTCTCTCTTCTCGCAACTCTCACAGACCAAAGAACTGAGAGTGTGTTTGCCTGGTGTTAATCCCTGTCCTGTCTTTAATAAACTGCAGACGTGGTCCGCCGAAGCCAGTGGTGTCGTGGGGTTCTTTGTGGCGAGAGACGAAGTCCGCTACAACTGTGCCAGTGATTCATGTGTAAGGTTTTAATGAGACTTTGAATAACAAATTTACAGTGTGACTACTGAATGCCACTGTCCGCATGCCACAGTCATTCTGATTCATGTGTGGGATTTTTTTAAGTGCAGTAAATGCAGAATAAGCTGTCATGCTCTCAATCGTACAACGTAACTGAAGCGAAACTGACTTAACTAATGCGATATATATATATATATATATATATATATATATATATATATATATATATATATATATATATATATATATA